AACTAAGATTGAGATTGAGGCTTTATGTAGCGTGAGAAGGATAGATATGAATCTAATTAAATCAGGTAAATTACGTCATAATAATAGGGTTGACTATGTGTATGTATGTGCTCTGAATGCAAAAGCTGGACGAAACCGACTGGACCCAGAGAACCGTGGGAATTTTTTCTTCCCTTTGATGCAAACGCCGGGCTAGGAATAAAAGAAGAGAGTTGGCAAAATTCGAAAATAATGATAAACAGTAACACGCGCCTCCGTGGGTATAAATCGATTTTATTTTTTCAAAAGAATAGGAGTAAAAATATGAAATGGAATGAGAAATAGGGAAGAAAAGTCGATAATTTGATATGGTTCCCGTCACGGGTATTCCAATAGAAGTGTCCAAACGAGTAAAATTAATTGAGCTCAATGACTTCAGGGGTGTGGGGTTGCTTTGAAGATACGTTGGACTGGCCGCCATTATTTGTGGAAGCGCTCGTCCAGCCACTTCGGACGGTTCCCGTTTCCGTTCAACGAGCGCGGTTCGCTCGATCTAATACTATTATTATTATTGCCATTACCTTCTGGCTTAGGCTCCCATGATCCGTCCGGACGCACGAGTATCGCTTTGACCTCCATTTGCTTGGTTTCTTCGAGTTCACGTCGGACTGCGCTGAAAAAATCGTCCATGATCAGGGACTTGGGCCGCGCGTCGCTGCCGCAGATAGGACACTTCCAATCCTCTGCCATGCTGTGCCCTTTCGCTAACCTTGGCAAACGTGTCATAAGAAATGTTTCAAGGTCGAAGCATTCCATATGTGCGCAAAACTTGGTCCGGGCGCCAATGTTGAAGATCCGCGCCGTAAAGGGGTCGACTAAGTCTATTGTGATATGCTCATCAACAATAGCAATATCGTCATCATTTGTATTTAATCCTGTAAGCCGATTCTTGATCTGGGTTAGAGTTGTAGAGTACGATTGACGCTGGATGAATGAACCGATACGGCTAGGGGAGGCGAATTCAACTATTTCCATGGCCACGGCATAGGTCGCTTTGCTATTACGCTCTACAGCGCCCCAGAGTATAGTTATCGACATCTCATTCAGGCCTTCCTTGAGGGAGCTCGCGATATTAAGGGGTAAATCTCTGCCGAAGTGCGGCTTTCGGCGAACGAAGTGCTCTATCCCGTTAACGTGAATATAGATGGCCGTCGGCCAGGTGGTGTCTGACACAGACCATTGATTCTCTGAGAGCGGGGTGAAGGGGGAAGTCATTTTTATACACCGTAGTTGATATGTTCGACGCCCATCTGAAACCCCCAATACAGGCGAACTATGCTTTGCTGTGGCATTTAGTCGAATAGGGAATTTTTGGTATTCCTCTGGCGTGATAGTGAACTGAAACTTGCGGATTGGCGCTCCTATTTGAATAGATGATGGAAGAATAGCAAAACCGTGGAGGTACTGGAATAACTGTGTTGGGTCACTACCGCGCTCCTTGGTAGTAAGAGCCATGGTTTTTTCTCTCAGAAAAGCTTGATGGAGACCAACAACAAGAGGGTTTGGATTAGCAGTTTCCATTGGAGGAACTCCCGCTGGAGGGAGGAGTAAATTGTTTGCTTTCGGGTAAAAAGATTGGGCGGCGGTGCAGCTTGTTCGGGGTGGTTGAACGGATGAGTGAATAAAGGCACCATGGCGCAGCTGAGTATTCGTGTTATCCGACAAGGGAACAAACTCGGACGAAATTGGGGAAAGCGAGTTGGAGTGAGGGTGGGCCATCATTGGCCTTCCAGAGGCTGCTGCATGTGCATGTGTGGGTGAAGAGATAGTTGTATACAGACTGTTGGGAAGTGGCGCAGAGGCATATTGTTGGCCTCGTTGGAGAGGGCGCTGGGAGGAATTTGCCGCCGGTGATCGATATGAGGACCGTACTTGGGGATAAGCATACGGTAATGGAGATTGCTGTGGCCCTTGAATGACATAATTCTGAGTTTGGGGCTGAGGACCGCCAGCACCCATTATTGGAAAAGAGGTTCCCTGATGTCGTTGAGGCAACTGGTAGGTTATTGCTCCGTGTACTGTCCGGTTTAGAGTAATATATTGCTCCAATATCTGTAGATATTGTGTTTTCAGGAATTCATTTTCAGATTGGATCTGTGCTGGGGATATAGGATTTGCACTGTACTGCCGTAAGGGGCGCTGCTGATAAAATTCCTCATTGATTTGAAAGATACGTGCGTATGCTTGAGTAACGCCGTCATCCAGAGCCCCTATAAGACGGCGACGGCATGCAGTGAATATTATATGTCGAAAAGTGCGCGAAGTGAACCCAAACACGTCAACCAGCTCATCAATAAGTGGCGGATATCCCCGCATAGCAACAGATGTCTCAAACGGTAACCAGCGATCTGCCATGGAGCCTAGAAAACTTATCACCTGGTCGCAAACAGCAGGATAAATCGAGTAGTATTGAACAACAATCCCAAATGGGGCTGGGAAACTAGCGCATGCTTCGACAAAAGGCTTTGAAAGACACCCGTTCTGTGTCAAAAGTTGCGAAACCAGCTCCAGACCTGCAATTTGGCGAGCTCCAAGTTTCGAGGGAGGCAGGAAGCCAGGGGAGATTGTGTGCAGGCAATACACCTGATGTAGGGCAATGTAGAACACATCTTCATTCTCACAAGCTGTTCGTAGCAGTAAAATCCGATTGTTCTCGCCACTCCCTGGTGGTGCCGAAAACCGACCAAGGATAGGGACAAATTTTTTCCAAGAAAATTGTTCAGAGGTCGGGGGCTTCAAGAACGCGTGGCTATTGTTACTCATATCAGATGTTGATTGAGTGTTAGCCGGAGCCGCGTTCTGAGGTTGATATGGTTGAGGCACAGCTGAATTTCCTGGCACAATCCGCACGCGTTTATCCCTATGTACTTCTAGGAATGGTGAATTCCCCGCAGTTCTGGGGGTTTGTGATATGGACAGTGGTGAATGTCTCATACCATTTATGGCATCGAGCGATGGATCTCGTTGTTGCAATACCGCTCCAGACAACGAACGGCTTGTTTGATGTGGCGGGAAAGGAGCAGCTCCTGGAATGGAGCCATCGCCTGGTCCCGATTCAGTGACGGCTCTTGTGGAGCATCTATGATGCGAATCTGGCGATGGGAGAACTGTATACTGGCGATCGGCTGTCGGCGCAGTTTGGGGTATTCGCTCAAACCGCGAATTCGAGATATTAGGAGAGGCTGGCGGCAATACAGGAGAGGGTTCGGGCTGGGATGGGCAGTTGAGCGGCACGGGGGAGATTCGCAGCTGCTCTAACGAGGGCGTGACGGGTCCATTCTGACCCTGCGTACTGTTAGGGGTGCGCTGGCTTCCTGATTCTAGTGTGGAAAGACTTCCCTGGCCCCTGGCACTCTCTCTGGACTGGGAGTGGATCGTGGTGCTCTGATCAGGTGTGGGAGCAGGAGTCGGTCGTTGCGCAGGTGGGAGTATGCTTGATTTAGGGGATGAATTTAGGTTCAGCATCCATGACTTTTGCCGGGCCCCTACAAATTTATTCAGTGTTGAATTTAGGGAGCTCAGTTCAAGTTCAGAATGGCGGGCATCGGTGGATTGGCGGCGGTTATGAGGCCGTTGTGGTGTCCTCATTGTAGACTTATTGGCATGTCAGCGAGGACGCACATTTTAGCACTGTGTGATCAGATGAGAGTAAAAAGTAGTGTGGTGATTCTCAGTATTATATTCTTGTTTAAATGATGCGGCGGGTTTGATAGGTGCCAAATGCAAGGCGTGTTGTTTTTCTTTTTGGAGGCTGAATTGTTCTGTGAACGGGTAGGATAAAGGAAGACACTCAACGAACCGGCATAACTGACACAAAGAGATTCCCAGCATTTGCTACAGAGAAAGTTGACAGTGCATAGTTATCTATAGACAGTGATAGATCTGCATAAAACAAGACCCCTCATGAGTTGAAGCTTAGATTAGGTTACCCCCCTCATAACTCAGCTGACTGTACTAGTACTAATTATGCTGCTGCTTACTCACTCACCTCTAGTGAGTATATCATATCAAAACAATAAAAACACTGAAACAATAAAAATCTTGTAAATTCTTAATCTTTATTTTCATTAATTAATTAATAATCATTACAAGATTGAATAAAGATGAAGATATTAAAAAGTGTATTCAGCAAGTTATTACTATCTATTAAAAAAATTTAAAATTTAAAATATTATTTTTTTATAAGAATTTAATTTTTTTTTCAATATCTCTAAGTATGTATTAATGAAAGAAATTCAAATACTGTAAAAATACTAGTTAATAAAAGATTAAATAAAAGTAAGAAAAATATTATTAAATAATAAATAAAGTTATTAAATAAAAAAAAATATTTTTTTATAACTGAATATATTCAAGATTTTATAAATTTAATTCTGAAATACTATTATATAAATTTTACTATTTTTCTCTTAAAAATTAATAAAATATAAATAAATAAATTTATTAAATATTTATTTAAATATAAAAAAGTGAAATAAAAATTAATAAATCTGAAATAGCTATTAATTAATAATATTAAATAAGTACTAAATACTTACTTATATCAGATTCTGTAACAGACTATATCTGATTAATAGATTATTTTCATAAAGCTTTATAGAATTGACTAACTTCTATTTATTTTATCAGCTTAATCACTGCTTCATCATGAACTTATATAATTTTTCAAATAAGAACTCACTGATAGATTCATTGAAAAGCTCTTAATTATACAAGTATTTTGACCTCATCACTGACTGCATATCTCACGTGATAATGAAGTTATTCAGTCAAATGTGAATCAGATATTATTTGAAACTTCTGAGTCAGATTATCTTCTATTCATCTCTATTACATCACAACTCTGAGTCAAATTATTATATAAATTGTAAGATGAAGAGATCTAGTTATATACATTAATCTTCTTAATTTTAAAAGATTCTCAATATGTAATTGTAAAGATATCTGAAGAGTAATCTCTGTGAAAACTCTGTCTATCTTTGATGTTTCAAAATATTAACATTAAGTCTTACTCATATATCACTCTTTTCAATCTGACTTATCTCTGATAGAAAAATACAAAAAGATATCTCAGTACTAATATTAAGTACATAATTAATGAATATATCTGAAGTACAATCTCTGTAAAAACTCTGTCTGTCTTTGATATATCAAGATATTAATATTAAGTCTCACTTATATTTCATCTTATTTAATCTGATCTATCTCTGATAGAAAGATATAAAAAAATATCTCAGTAACAGTATTTAATATATAATCAGTAAACAATGATAATTATAAAATTAGTATATCTCAAGATCTGACTGAGTCTTTAATTTCTGCTTAGTGAGATATATTAAATCTAGTTTTAATATCTTAATATTTAATAGATTCTGTAAGAGATTGAGAACAGTAATACTAGATTTCTATTAAATTTAAGAATTAACTCTATATTAATATAATTATTGATAAAGTCTTCTATTTTAAGATATAAATAATCAGTTTCTCTATATTCTGCTAATAATATTTATATTATTATATAGAAACAGATTTATATTCTCTATATATAAGAATAAGTGCTTGCAGGCGATTATTCGGGTGTTTGCAGCTTAGTGTGATATGTACTGTTAACTACTAGAAGTATTTATAATAGAAAGATAAAATATAGAGATTAAATATATAATAGTATTTAAGCTGAGTTATGAATAGTATTTATGAACTTCAGTCTATATAGTTATATATAGTCAAGAGCTGCTAACTCTATTAATTATATAAGAGATAAAAATAGAGATAAAGAATCTGTAAGAAGTGAGATTTCTTATATACTTCTCTCTCTCTAAGACTTTGTCTGTGAAGTCTTTCACTGAGTGACTTCATAGAATCAGCTTAGCACTGCAGTGATACTTACTAAAAACTCTTTATATCTATAAAAAAAACCTTAGTGAGGAAAAATCTCTTATTACTATAAAGAAAAAAGAGTCTATTACTTAGTTTCTTATTTTGTGAGATTCTTTATAATCTACAGATTCTTCTCTAATTACTATACAGATTCATCTCATATCTTCTATATAAAAGAGTTCTAATTAACTCTTAATTATTTTCATGAAATTCTTGTATAACTATTACACAGATTTATCTCACAGATGAATCACTCTCTGTAAGATTATTCTTATCAAAGAGAAGTATTCATAAGTTAATCTTTTACTCATTCTTATAAATTATTGTTCTTTGATACTGTAGAATTATGAGGAATTTTTCATTCTTTTATTAACTCTATAGAATTATAGAATTAAGATATCTACAGTCTGTAATCACTCTTTATAGTTATATAGAAAGATTCAGATCTATAATTTATAATTATTCTTTATTTACTAGAGTGATCTGACTGTTTCATAAAATCACTCACAGTATAAGTAAATCTCTCTAGAGTAGTATAAATATCTCAGATCTGTCTGTGAAATTTTATCTTCTTTTTTCTTTTTCTATAACAGCTCTTATTCTTATAAACTGTAAGTATCTTCATTTATTCATAAAGTGTTTTCACTCAGATAACAGAGAGAGAGTATTTCTAATAATATCTATATATTAATTCAAGAACTTCTCAAGAATAAAAAATTTTTCAATTTCAATATCTTTATAAATAATATCTGACTGTCACTGAGCTTCTTGTAAGTGTTTCTGTAACTTCTCTGATTACTTTTTACTGACTGATAAAGTAGAGATATCACTGCTTATAATAGTGTCTTCACTTCTCTCAGCTCTGTCACTGCATCTAATCTTCAGATCAGTGATTAATTTCATATCTCTCTCAGATCAGTCTCTGACTTTAAGTAGTACAGTTCTGCTCTTTGCTGTAAGTCTTCTTATAAGTAATTTCTTACAGATTCTAGCTAACAGTTCTTGTAAAGCTTCTGATGTTATCAGTGTCTTCTACAGTTCTGTAAGTCTATAATCATCTTCTCTCTATCTATACAATCTCTGATCAGATATATGTAAATATATCTAGATTCTCTATTAACAGTTCTTACACTGCAGTACATTTCTATAATTTCATTATCAATGAGAGATAAGTTCTCAGATATCTGTAAAATCTGAGTAATCAAGACAATGTGAATATCATGAATTTGTGACAGAAGTTAATCTGAACAGATGAGCTCTCTCTCTGTATCTTAATTATTTTCAGACTGAATACTTCAGTATAACTGAGAAAGTAGACACAGCTTTATAAGAGATATCTGATCATATACATAGATGATCAGTCTTCAAGATTCTGTTACAACTGTATATATTCTGATGTCTGACTTCTCTGAAGTCTGTGTATTTCTGACAGTCTTTATATCAAATGCAACAATTGTCTGTACTGCAGATATAATACTCTCTGCTTCTTTGAAGAGAAAAATTAATAGTTATGAAAAGATTGAGTATTATAAGTATTGAGAATATGAATATAAATTTTCTTTATTTTTTCTTTATTAGTCTCTAAATTGTGTTTACAGATCTGTTTCTATTTTCTTATTTTTTAGCTTTAATAAGAACATGATTTCTTCTTTCTTTTATATATACTGTAGACTGTTCATCTCAGTAGAAACTTATCATCTTATAGACTAGAGTTTGTAAATAACAGTGTTAATATCTTTATTATAATCAGGTTCTTAGTGAAGACTGTATTATTCTGACTTATCAGAATTTATAATATAAAAGTCATATCTTAGCTTTTACAGATGTCTTATCTACTCAGATAATTCTTCAGTGAACTCATTCATCTCATCAGAATACTCTTATCACTGAATCTTGAATTAGAGCTTGTAATCTTACTTCTCTGAATTAATAATTTCTTTAGTCTGATATTCTCTTTCACTCTCTAATACTTTATAAATAGAGTGATGAGTCACAGAGTTCTCTTCTAAGAATTTCTTATATTTATAAAGTAAAGAGATATGAAAAACATTGTATATTTATAACTTAGACAACAGTTTTAATCTATAGAACTATAAGCTAACTTTCTTCATAATCTTATAAGACTCTATTTATAAGAGATTCAGCTTCTTACTAGATCTCTATATAATAATATTTTCTAGACTTAGTCATACTCTATCATCTTCTTAAGCCGATGAACGTCCTTAAGGAAGAAAGTGAAGTGTCAACTGCAGCATTAATTCAAACAGCTCCAGACCCTCCAGCGCAACATGAACAGCATCAGGCGATCCAACAGTCGCTTGACGCC